TTCTGTAGGAGCAGAGGGAATCGAACCCTCGTCTAAGGAACCACAATCCTTCATTCTACCATTGAACTATGCCCCTTTTCTTTTATTGCTGTTTTCCTCTTTTTTTTCTTACATAATGAAACAGTGAATAGCTTGAAATCTTTGGTTGACAAGTGTCTTCAATTTGTGCTTGATGTTTTATTTTTTTGCCCACCCGGAAAGCATTCTTCGTAGTTCGTCTATATCGTTCATGGTTGAAATCTTTTCCACCAAAATCATATCATCAGTATCACTCTTGAAAGATTTTTTCAATTCCGCAATCTTTTGTTGATAATATTCCATTCGTTGTTGAATAGAATGCAAATCTTCCTCCAGTGGTGGTGGTTGTTGTTTCATTTGTTCATCGAGTTGCAATAATTCCATTCGAATTTGAATCAATGTTGGTATTCTTTCATCATCCGCATGATCATGGTCTTCTGGTATTACTATCCTTTCAGCAGCACTGTTTTCATTGTTCTTTGCCAGAGTCTTTCGGACATTAGGTCCATAACACCTCATCATTTTTTTTTACAATAATTCTCTTTATTATTGAAAAAAGCTTTGAGTCTCTTGAATTTTTTGATCAATTATTGAAAGATTCTTTAAAGACTTCTCAAGTAGGAACATTAGGTGATCTTTACTAAAAGATTGAGAGTTTTTCCGGAACTCAAAAAATGTTGTCACAACCTCCACCACTCAGCATGATGCGTCAACTGGAACAAACCTCCTGGAATCATCTCCATGACCACACGCACACAGCTTCCAATCATCCCCGAAGACCATTTAAAAAACTTCAACCCTTGCTTGTCCGTTCCAATAAAGTCGTTGACCTTAATGTGAGGATGAATTCGGATCACCAGTGGTCATCAAAGTCATCAAACAAGCATGCTCAACTGCAAACCGACCATGATGATGATTACCATGTCATGTACGATCAAGATCTCGATGAAGAAATGCAAAATAATTCTGGAGAAATGGATTCACAATTACTTTCCGTGTATCAACAATTTTTCAATTCATCATGTATTGACTTTAAAAGAACCTGTGATCCTTCATCCCTACACACAACCGAATGAATTTGATGAACTTGAATTACTCCCTATCGAGGAAAGAATTTGGCACAATTGAGAGAAGAAGTGTCATCATGAATGTCTTTTTTACAATTAATTTTTCAAGGAGTTTGTGGATTAAAATCATTTCATGATCATCACTTGATTCATCGAGATGTGAAATTGGAAAATATTTTCGGGAGTCTGGAAAAGAATGGACAAATTTTGCATGTCGTGATGAAGTCGCACTTTTGAAATTTATTTTTCACAATAATGAGGAATTGCAATACGTTTCTGAAGAACATCCAGAAAATGTTCATGACATGGTCGATGAATTATGTAACGAGATATATCGTCTCGCCGTTTTACAAAAATGGTCATGACTGCCATCGAACAAGATCCCACTTCATTCGATGGAGCTTCCGAAGAATTGAGAAATGATTTTAATTTTGTTCGAATTTGTGTGAAGAAAAATGCACTTGTTTTTAGAAATGTTTCTC